CGTGCCCTGCCGTGTCCCTGTGGGGGCTCTGAGGGGTCCCCGGGGGGTTCCTGTAGTGCCCTCGAGCGGCTGAAGTGAGGGAACCATACCCTGCTCTTGTAGGGACAAGAGCTGTGCCCTGTGCGGGCGGTGTGAGCGTCCCGGGGGCTCTGGGGGGTTCCTGCAGTACCCTGGAGGGGCTGAGACAGGGAGACCATACCCAGCCATGTGGGCAGGATCCCTAAGGAACGTGCCAAGCCCTGGCCAAGGCTGGGGGCAGTGGCAGGCGCAGTGGTGGGTCCCTCATTGCTCTCTTCCCTCAGACCTGATCCGCAGCATCCGCGACCCCGAGAAGCCAAACACGCTGGAGGAGCTGGAGGTGGTGACTGAGAGCTGTGTGGAGGTGCAGGAGATCGGGGAGGAGGAGTACCTGGTCACCATCAGGTTCACACCGACAGTACCTCACTGCTCCCTGGCTACCCTCATTGGTGAGAGCTGCGTGGCAGCAGAGCTGCAAGGAGTGTGAGGTGTAGCTGAGGTTGTCTGATTGACCTCAGGGTGGTTGAAATTCAGTGTTGCTTTGTTGGGTTGGTCAGAAATCGTGGCTTGAGGACCTGATTGGCCTTGTAAACAAACCAACCCCAAAACCCCAAATGAAACACCAAAAGCCAAACCAAACCCCAAGCCAAAACCTAAATCAAACACCAGAAACCAAACCTTAAACCAAAGCCTAAATCAAACCCCAAACACCACAAACCAAACACCAAACCAAAACCCAAACCAAATACCCAATGCAAAACCCCAAAACCAAATCAAACACCAAAACCCAACCCAAATCCTAAACACCAAACCAAACCTTAAATCAAACCCCAAAACCTGACCCAAACACCAAACGAAATCCCAAACCAAAACCTAAATCAACCTCCAAAACCGAAACCAGACCCCAAGTCAAACACCAAAACCCAACCCAAACCACAGGCACCAGAAACCAAAAACCAAACCCCAAACCAACCCCAAAACACTGAACCCTAAAAACTAAAACCCAAACCTCATACCAAACCCCCCAAACCCAAGACTCAGGGCCATGTGAGGACATCCAACTGCTTTTCCCCAGTTAGGGAAACTCTTCCAAGAGAACCTCTCAAAACACTTCTGGAAAGTGGCACAGAAATCCTTCTTTGTGTTCTCCAGATTATTTTGGTCATGTTAAACTGACACTTTGTCAGCTCTGAAATAAAGATGAAAACTCTCAGCTTCCCTTCCCTTAAGGCTCTTCTCCATTCCCACACAGACAGAAATCCCCACATGCACTCCAAGAATCCCCCAAAAAGTCCTGAACCATTAGGAGCTGGAAAGGAATTAAGCTGAGTGAGAATCTACCCTGACTTATTTTGCCTTTCCATTTTCCCTGATGATTTGTGGTGAGTTCACACCTGAAGTGTCACATCTGAGAGCTCTGAAATGGTTTGTTTGAATGTGCCAAGTCAGAAACTCTTAGCATTAAATATCAATACTAAGATTTCTCTGTGTTTTAAAGATTGAAGGGAAAACAAGTCTTTAATTTAATGAGGAAATAAATGTACTTAAGCCCAAATAACCTGCTCAGAACATGAGAGGAGATTGTCAGTTACATGTGGATTCTCTGAAATGCACATCAAGCCTTGACTTTTACAAGGAAATCTTTCGTTTCCACAGGCCTTTGCTTAAGAGTAAAACTTCAGAGGTGTTTGCCTTTCAGACATAAGGTAAAGTCCCTGGTTTGACACCTGCTCTCAGCTACATGAGTGAATGCTAAGCTCTCCTGCACGAGTGTGTGCTGCAGGCACAGGTCCCTGCAGCTCTCACAGCTTGGGCTCTTCTTAGAGCTGCTGGTTTGCCTGTGCAGCAGATATCTGGAGGAACTGCCTAAAGGAATATGTGAACTCAGTGGGAGGAGGTTGTGGGGTGGTGGTGGTGCTGTGAAGTCCAAGATCAGCTCTTGTCATCGATCCCTTCCCTTCTCCAGGAGCATTTTGAGCAGTATGAGTGATGAGTTTGTGTATGTGACAATGTTTTCCTTCCAGCAATTAATCCATTCAGCTCTTGTGCTGCTTCTAACACTGATCATCTCTCCTCTAGCTGGAAATCTACATATCTGAGGGTACACATTCCACGGAGGAGGACAGTGAGTATGGCTTAGGCTTGAGTGCTGCTGCAGATTGTTTGTGCTCTGTGCTGTCCTTCAATTCCCTGAGTTCGGCTGCAGCCTCTATGTGCCCTGCTCAGTCCCTTCCATCCCTGAGTTCTGCTGCAGCCTCTGTGTGTCCTGCTCAGTCCCTTCCATCCCTGAGTGCTGCTGCAGCCTCTGTGTGTCCTGCTCAGTCCCTTCCATCCCTGAGTGCTGCTGCAGCCTCTGTGTGTCCTGCTCAGTCCCTTCCATCCCTGAGTGCTGCTGCAGCCTCTGTGTGTCCTGCTCAGTCCCTTCCATCCCTGAGTGCTGCTGCAGCCTCTGTGTGTCCTGCTCAGTCCCTTCCATCCCTGAGTGCTGCTGCAGCCTCTGTGTGTCCTGCTCAGTCCTTTCCTCCCCTGCCTTCCTGTGCTGTCCAGGAATCCATACCCTGTAGGAGCTTTAAATCAAACGTGTCACTGATGCAGTTCCCCAGCTGTGGTGTCTCTGTGACCGTATCCTTGTTGCTGTTGGTTTGGGGTTTTTAAACGACAAACCTCACAGAGTCCTTGCAGGTGTGTTGGTAACAGATTAATTTACTGCTGCATAATGAAGAGGAGGCACTGTCTGACTGGTTGATTTTGCTGCCCTAACATCTTCATAGCAAACAGATCTGTTTATCAGTCAGTGTTTAAAGTAGAACTTGCAGGACATGGACATTCTGCCAGAGCCAGACACTGCCTTAAACAGCTGCTGAAGGGCTGATCCAGGCAGTGTCCCAGCCCCTATCCAGGCACTGTCCCAGACCTGAGCTTTGGGTGTCCTTGTATGATGCAAATTGGTTATTTTGGTTAAATTGGAACCTGCAGAACTTGGACTACTAATTTGTCATGATTTTCACACTTAATTTTAAGCATTAAAGCATTTTACATCATTTCCTGAATTAGAAGAGGCACAAAGCTGGTTGATTGCTGCTGGTTGTTCTGTGACTGAGCTTTCCCTTGCCTGTCACTCCTCTGTCCCTGAGTGCTGCCCCTGAGCACCTCCTGTGTCAGGGGGCACTGAAACCTTCTCCCTCCCTTCCCCTGCGTGTTCTGCAGTCAACAAGCAGATCAATGACAAGGAGAGAGTTGCAGCTGCCATGGAGAACCCCAACCTGCGAGAGATCGTGGAGCAGTGTGTCACAGAGCCTGACTAGGAGCGCGTTTTGATACGTTTCTTACAATTACCTGTGTTTTGAAGAAGAGAAAATAATAATCAAGGCCTTGAGTTTAATACTTGAGTTCTTTTTATCTTCCACCTGTTTTTTAAGGGGAAATTGTTTATGATGTAGATGTAAATGCTGAGGAATCAGTCTCTGAGTGAAGTGTACAGTGCTGAGTTTGTAATTTCTGCTGCCCAGAGACATACTTTTTGATTAAAAGCAACACTTCTGTATTGCCTTCAGAGAGAGATTGTGATACCAATTCAGGTGAATTTCTACATGTTTCAATCACTGTAAAAATAAAACAGATTCTTGTACTGAAATGCTGCTCTGGATTTGGGTTGCTTTTCCTTTAAGTTTAGGATTGGATTTCTGCTAGAGGAGATATTTTCTTGTTCATTTTATCCAACTTCTTCATTTCAACCAACACATTAGAGCTGGAATTAATCTGGAAAATTCCTTTGGAGTTGAGGGACTAAAACATTTTGGAGCTGAGGGACTGGAACAGATTCTTGTACTGAAATGCTGCTCTGGATTTGGGTTGCTTTTCCTTTAAGTTTAGGATTGGATTTCTGCTAGAGGAGATATTTTCTTGTTCATTTTATCCAACTTCTTCATTTCAACCAACACATTAGAGCTGGAATTAATCTGGAAAATTCCTTTGGAGTTGAGGGACTAAAACATTTTGGAGCTGAGGGACTGGAACAAGGAGATTGGGACACAATTGCTGAACACTTGTGCTGTTTTCCCTGTGTGTGGTTCCAGAGGCTTTGCTCTATAACCACCCTGAGGGTAGAGTTTCCATGTGGACAATGCCAATTTCTTGCCAGTTTGATCCTGCCTTTTCCTACAGCTCTCCTGTCCTGAGCAAGGAGTGTGAGCAAGAGTTCCTGGGGCTGGCAGAGGGGGAAGGAAGGAGTTACTCCAACCCAGGCTTTAGGAAATGGATTTGGACAAGAAGTGAGAATGCCATAGAGAGGGAACAGGAGAGGATACAGGCAGGGATTGTCCCTGTGCCTGTCACACCTGGGAAGCTGCCAGGGAAGGACCTGAGCAAACCAGAGCCAAAACCTTGGTGGAAGACAGAGCAATTTGGGAAAGGCAAACTTGGTTTTTAGCTTTGAACTGGATTTAAGGCATGTTCTTCCACTTCTCCCTCTCAGAGCATCACTACACAGGGGATTTTCCTGCCAGGGCATCCCTGCACAGGGAATTTTCCTGCCCAGACATTACTGCACAGGGAGTTTTTCTGCACAGGGAGTTTTCCTCTACAGGGAATTTTCCTGCCCAAACATCACAGGGAGTTTTTCTGCACAGGGAGTTTTCCTGTACAGGGAATTTTCCTGCCCAAACATCACAGGGAGTTTTTCTGCACAGGGAGTTTTCCTGTACAGGGAATTTTCCTGCCCAAACATCACAGGGAGTTTTTCTGCACAGGGAGTTTTCCTGTACAGGGAATTTTCCTGCCCAAACATCACAGGGAGTTTTTCTGCACAGGGAGTTTTCCTGTACAGGGAATTTTCCTGCCCAGACATCACTCCACAGGGAGTTTTTCTGCACAGGGAGTTTTCCTGCCCAGACATCCCTGCACAGGAAGTTCTACTGCCCAGATACCCTTGCACGGGGGATTTTCCTGCACAGGGAGTTTTCCTGCCCTGGCAGTTTGTCCAGCTCTCTGAGACCTGAGGGTAGAGACAAAAGTGCATCACTGCCAGCACAGCAGGGACACACATCCTGCATCACACTTCCCTGCCTGGAAGAGGCTATAGATACACAAACCCCTCCAGGGATGGGTTAAATGCTCTAGAGAACACAACCCAGCACTATCTGTTGGCTATTTTCCTGGAACTTGGGGTGTTTTTTTCTCCTTTGCACCATGTGGGTTGATATTTTCCTTTCAGAGTGAGATATCTGCTGCAAGCAACAACCTTTGTGGCTCCTGCAGCCATGAGATATGCAGCTCCTCTCCTGGGGGTTCTCTTGGTGCTGGTGCCTGTGCACAGCTCCAGTTGCACCACCAAAATGGCATTCCTAGCTCAGAGCAGAGCTTGGGGGACAGGCAATGGGATGCTCTGCTGCCCATGAGAGGATTTCCTGGTGGAAAGGGTCATTAGCACTGAGAGCTTTGAGCTGGAGCACAGAGGGTAAATATTCTCCTTCAGAGCAGCAAGCAGGGAGACGGACCTGAGCCCAAAGCAGCTCTCTGAAACCAGGAATGCTCCCAGTTCCTCAGGGGATGGATCCCTGCTGGGAGCACTGGGAAGTGGCTCCCAGGAGCTGCTGCACTTCCCAGCATTTCCGTTAAAACTAGGATTGGGAACTTGGTCCATCCTTGCTGCTGCTCCACAGACCAAGGTGGGCAGAGGCTTTGCTACCACAGGGCCCTGGGGACACTACACCATGGGGTGGCAGAAACAGCCAGTGAGCAGCTCACACTGAGAGGGGAACAGCTCCAGGAGGGTCCTATCAGGCAGGATTTGAGGTGCCTGAGGAGCACAGGATGTCCCAGGAACACAGAACATGTCATCTGTCCTCATTTGTGTCACCGAGTAATAACACTGTCCCTTTAGGCTATGAATATTGAGCATTCCCAGTAAGGAGGAACAACTGCAGAGGGCACCAGCAACCCACAGAGTGACACCAGGGATTCTCTGCAGGGACAGGAACGTCCAGGGGCTTCCCCGCTCAGCTTGGGACCTGGATGGGCTTCTCTGCCCCTGGGCAGATCTTGGGCACCAGCAAAGCATCCTGTGTGGCTGCAGAGCCATCCAGGTGTGTGCTGGAGGAGCTGGGAAGCAGAGGAGCCAGTGGGGCAGGGACTGAGCTGAGCTGAGCTGGTTCTTGCCAGGGCTTTGGCTCGTGCCCAGGTATCACAGCAGGAGTGTGGGCACCGGGGTTATCCCTCCCCAGAGGCTCAGAGGAAACCTGGAAACGCCTGCAGGGATGTGGAAGGACACAGAGAGCACAGCAAACACCTCCACACGTGGAGCTGTGGGACCTCAGCCAGGCCAGGTGCTGGTGGGCACCTCCATCCCCACCAGATTGCTCACCCAGCAGCAGGGAGTGCCCCAAGGTTAGCTCCTGCCTTGCCTCAAACCCCAGCACAAGCACAGAGCTAGTCCATTCCCCACCTCCAGCCCCTCCAGAGCGAGCCAGCACCATCCCTGTGCCCTTTGCTGGGCTCCCCGGGCATGCACAGGGACTTAGATCCGTTTCTGCTTTTCCAGGCTGGAATAAGAGGTTTGAAATCACATTACCAGTCCCATCTCCCCAGGCTGTGAGTCCCTGCAAGGGAGGTGGAAGCTGAGAGGAAAAGGACTGTTCTCCACCCCTCCCTGCCTGCCCCTGGGCAGTGTCACGGGCAGCAGAGCTGTGTAAGGAGCTCCTGGGGCTCCTCCACAAACCCTTTGCAAGGGTTGTAACTACTGCTCACTCCAGATGGCAACAGAGCAGTGGCATATTGACAGAGGTATTTTTAGCGCACAGGCTGTTCCAAATGTTTACATGCAGCCTGCTGAGCCTTCCTCCAGCACAGATGTGGGTTGGGCGGAGTGGGGGCTCTGGGTCCTCCCTCCCCTGCTCCAGCACACGTGTGGAACAGCTTCGTTCCATTGCTCAACACACACGGCTGCTCTGGGAGAGCAAACACACTGTGCCTTGGTACCAGCTGGAGAATGAGGAGCTTATTTCCCTGCCCTTCCCTCCCTCCTCCTGCTGGCTGTGCTTTCCTTCCCCCTGGGAATGTCCCCGTGCCCTGGGATGGCTGTGACCTGCTGGAGCACTGCTGGGGTTCAGCACCGCAGGGTGGCTGGGTGAAGGCTGTTCTCCATTCAGTATAACAGTGATCAGCTGCCAATAAAAGCCATGGAAAAGATAAATCAGTGGAACTCTTCTGACCCTTCCCTTGCTGAGCTGCCCTGGCTGTGCTGCCCCTCAGGGCTGTCCCCCTCATGCCCTTCTGTGTAGCACAAGAAGGTTTTAAGAACAGGAGAAAATTAAAACATCTCTTGTTCCTGTCCAAAGAGACATGAATGGAAGCTGTGAGCTATTCCTGTCTGGATTCGCTGTCTGCTTGTGTGCTCAGGTCACTGATGGGACCACATCCCTCCCTGTCCATGCAGCTGAGAAAGGACTGATGACCTCTCTGGGTCTTTGGCAACTAAAATCCTCTGGCTGAGATCATCTGAGCCAGACAGAAGCACTTGGGAAGGTCTGAGAGCTGCAAACCACAGGTGCTGTGCCAGGGAGGCCCAATTGCTGCTGGAGCTGTGGAAGCTCTTGGTGTGTTACTGAGAACCAGAGACACAAACAAGCTCCTCCACAAGTGCCTGATGCTTCCCAGTTAATGAGTTCCACTTCCTTCCTGGCTCCAGCTCTGGAAATGTCTGGAGGTGACCCAGAAAGGCACAAAGGTCTGGTTTCTGGTCTGAAGCCAAAAGCCTCTGGCTCCTCTCAGAGAGGATTTTGGGAGATCATGGAATCATGGAGTGGTTTGAGTGGGAAGCGACATTAAAGCTCATCCCATCCCACCCCTGCCCTGGGCAGGGACACCTTCCACCAGCCCAGGTTGCCCCAAGCCCCATCCAACCTGGCCTGGAACACTCCCAGGGATGGAGCAGCCACAGCTGCTCTGGGAAATCCATTCCAGTGCCTCAGCACCTCACAGGGAACAATTCCTTCCCAACATCCCATTTCGGGTTGGAAGGAAAAGGATCTGAGGTTGGAAGGGAAAGGATTTGGGGTTGGAAAGGATTTGGAGTTGGAAGGGAAAGGTTTCTGGTTGCAAGGAAAAGGTTCTCCTGGCTGCTGCAGTTCCCGGTGCCACAGAGACACAGCCTAGCTGGGACCACAGGGACATGACACACTGGACTGTGGCCATGGACTGGTGCAATGGGTCTGGCTGAGTGTCCCACAGGAGGGATGATCCTGTCCCTCATCCCAGCCATGGATGGGACCCTGTGCATGGGCAGGTTCCACAGGAAAAGCTCACCTGG